AGGCTGGTTTCGAACTCCTGAGCTCAAACAATCCGCCCGCCTCGGCCTCCCAGAGAGCTAGGATTACAGGCGTGAGCCACCGCGCCCGGCCTAAATTGAATTTTATAAAGACTAAAATTTACTTTTAAAAAGTTGCTGATCTCTTTGATTGTGTCAAATAGCCTGTCTTTAAACATTCCCTCCTTCCCTAGGCACACACTGAGGACATGATATCTCTTACAACATTAGAAATAAAAAAATAGTTGAGAGTATGGAGGAATAGATTAAACTAGTATTAGGAAAACAAAGCTAATTTTTGAAGAATTTTGCATTGCTCTGAACAGATTATTTGCTTTCAAAAAACGTGAGAGACTATAACAGAAGAACTAAATGAGAATATATTAATACTAATATGAGATACTTTTAGTAGGAATTATGAACAGTATGAATTTAAAGTTATTAAAGGAGGTCTACAAAGTATAAACCTTTAAAAGCTTTAACTGTTCATTTTTTGTAGATGAATTCTTGTATTAAAAACCCCAAAATTCTTCTGTTGAAGTGTTCCATTGAGTATCTCTACAGGGAAGAAACAAAGTTTACTTGCATTGATCCTATTGTGCTTCAGGTAAGAACTTATTACTGAAAATAATAATTTGGAGCAATGTTTGTGTACTGTGATACTTAATTATTAATTCTTAATTATTTTGACTCATTTTAGTTGATTAAATTGGATATACGTAGAAACTTGATTGCTCTTGTTATATTTTATGAAGTTATTGTAAATGACACTTGTATGCATTATACTTTAGAACTAGCTTACTAAAACCTGTCACTCATTATTTTTAAAATTTCAATGTGTTAAAGGGAACACATGACTCTTTGGGAAAATATGGAAGAAAAAGTGAAAATCCAAGTACTGGTTTCCGTTTCCCACTTAGGCCATTGATTTACTGTGAGAACTTCTCTAATTTATCAGGTCCCTAAGGGAGTCTCTGGTTTATAATATAGTCTATTCTACTAAAACACATTTCTAACACATCAATTAATTTATATGTAGTTGGCAAATGGGAATAACATCCGATGGAAGTTGTGTTGGTTTCAACGTGGTTTTTCCTAAGCAAGAGGACCCCCGAATAGCTATAGTAGGATTATAACCCTCAGCTGGGAAGTAAAACAGCCTCAGCTTGGCTGTTAAAACAGGCAGGAGCCCATTCAGTTCTGTTTTAAGAAATTAAAAGTAAACATCTGCTTTCAGGGCTCTTTTCCCAGAGAGGCTCACCCACAGCCCTAGATGGCTCTTGATAGCTCTACTGCTCAGAGCTCCATTTTTAGTTGTAGTGTTGCAGTTGTTTTTGTGTATTTTAAATTTCCCTTGAGGCAGCCTCTAGCCATGCTGTGTTGCTGTCTGCCTGGGCTGTACAGGTTTTCTCTTAAGGTATTTTTCTTTCTTTTTTTTTTTTAGTGCTGCAGATATGAAGTTGCACAGGCTTTAAGTTTTCTGCCCCAATCCCCTTTTTCCGATAAATGCTGTTAACTTTAGTTTGTGGTCACAAAAATTGGAAGGTTTTCAGAAATGTGTATATGCTAGTATAGTGGAAACACACCTGGTTCCAGAAACATTTAGGAAAAGCATTACTTGAAAATTCGTAGGTAATATTTTTCCAAGAGTGGTAGGAGCAATCACTTTTGTACTGAATTTATAGATACCAAGAAGAAAAACTTAATTGTAGTGAAAGGCACAGTGCTTATAAAACTCTACTGTATTACTTAATGAACTCTTTTCTCTGGGGCTTTTTCCTCTTTGGAATTCCGCTATGCTCTCAGTAAAAATGAGGGGTTTTAACTGATTTATACCAGCCTTTCTACCTCTGATTTACTATGACTTTTCAGAAGAGAACTTAATGAGAATAAAGGGAAACATAATCCTTATTGTTCATGGAATCTAAGATACTGTGATGTATCTCACAGAAGATGTCAGCAGAAGATTTTCACAAGATTAAATCACTACTACATGGATTGTAAGATACATACTGGTTGTAGAGATGTTAAAATTCATAAAATTGTATGTCTTAGAGTTGCTCAACTAGGGTAACTAAAATCCACAGGTGTTTGTTTATTAAAAAGTTACACTTAAATTTATTTAGTTTATTATTACTCCATACTGCAAAAAGGTTAACAGACTGAAGTCTTTTCATGTTAGAGAGGTCTGTTCTGGGCAGATGTGAACTTCAGAGGCGCATGGTTTACTCATACATCATAAAGTGTTTTGTTCATTAGTGCTTTCAAACATAGTTTTATTATACTTTTAACTCCTATTTGAGTTTTTTTTTTTTTTTTTTTGAGACAGAGTCTCACTGTGTTGCCCGGGCTAGAGTGCTGTGGCATCATCCTAGCTCACAGCAACCTCAAACTCCTGGGCTCAAGCAATCCTACTGCCTCAGCCTCCCGAGTAGCTGGGACTACAGGCATGTGCCACCATGCCCGGCTAATTTTTTCTATATATTTTTAGTTGTCCAGTTAATTTCTTTCTAATTTTAGTAGAGACGGGGTCTTGCTCTTGCTCAGGCTGGTTTCGAACTCCTGAGCTCAAACAATCCGCCCGCCTCGGCCTCCCAGAGAGCTAGGATTACAGGCGTGAGCCACTGCGCCCGGCCCTATTTGAATTTTTTCATTTTCTTTTCTTTCTTTCTTTTTTTTTTTTTTTTTTTGTCCACCCAGTGGGGAATAACTAATTTGAGAAGAAACTGAAATGGAGATAGAGACAGGAGGATGAGAAACCAAGGGCAGGGAGATGATTAGCCTGTGACTTTATACTGTCTTCACAAGGCTGGGCCTGCCAGCCCTGTTTGTCTGCCTCTGCTATAATACGTTCCGTGCTCATGGCCTAGTGCCAGATACTTGCTCCTGGCTGAGTTTGGACCAGGCCTTCTTTTTAACGTGGTGCTTCGTGATTAGCCATAGTTGGTTGCAGTTGAAACTGAAAGGAAATTTATTTGCCATTCTTGTACCAAAGGCAGAAACTTTTATATAATCAACTTACTCTATACTATACTTTATTAGAGCTGCACAGATGAAATCATTTTAAATGATGTTAAATTACAATTTAATAAGCAGAATAGGAATTTAACACATTTCAGGAAAAAAAATTCCATTTTGTTAATAGTGGGAGAATTTGAAATATGCAGTTTCTATCAGTAAGACAGAGGAAGGTGAGAAGAAATATTCTCCCTAACAGGGCAGGTTCGTTGCAGGTAATAGGCTTTTCTATTTCTGGGAGCAGTGAACATTAATACAGTCTTGCTCAGAAAACACTTTTGCACATGGAGCAGAAGTGACCACGCATTCACCTTCAGTTGTCTCTCATCTGGAGCCCAGAAATGTTATGAAGCAGTTAATGTATTGTTTTAACACTGGTTGTTATTTACAATATTTATTTGTTTTGGAATGCAGACTTTGTGATGAGATTATATTAAGCGTTATGTTTTAGGTCTTTAACACATTAACTGCCATGTGAGTTGTATTTAGCTCATGCTAGTTTTGTGCCCGGGGCCTTGTGAGGCATATGTAACTCACACGTCTCTTCCCTTTGGGAGCCACGTGAACTGTTTTTTAAGTAGCATATAACTTAAGCACAGAAAACAATGAAAAATAAATTTTTCATTAAATGAAAGGATCATTTTGTTTTCAAAATTTTAATTCTGTTTTTGTAATAAAACACCATGGCCCCAAGGAAAACATTCTTTTTTCTAGCATGGTAGTCAGTGTGTTAAGCATAGCTGTTCTAGGTAGACTATGATCTGTTGGGAGATTGGAATTAGGAAATAGCTGCAATATCATCTGTTTGAGAGTCAGTTATTCAGATGCCAAGAAGAGATACTCTGGTTTGTTTCAGAATATAAAAGAGGAATTTATAATCATAGTAAAAGCGGTTAGAAATTACTTTAATTTTAGGAGTTATGAGGTTAAGTTTTTTGTTTTTCTTGTTTTTTAATCTCTGAGAGCTAGTAAATTGGATTCTTGGCTTTTATATTATAGGTTATTAAGAATTGAAAATCCTTCAAAGTAAAATTAGTTGGAGAAAAGAATTTCTCCTGAAACTCTTGTTGTGTAATCAACAGTTTGAAATGATGAATGAGATTCTTGGTTGTGTTTGAATTAATTTGCTTACAGATTTATTTATGGATGAAGAAAATTTAGGCTGATGTTGATATTAATAGTCAAGCTATTCTGATATTTTAATATGTATGTCCAGGTCTTGAATTGTACCAGGCATAGTATTTCTGATTTATCTTACTTAGGAAAGGGAATTCTTTATTTTATTTTATACTTTAGTTTGTCTTACTTATTTCAGAGTATTACTGGGGTACAAATGTTTTTGTTACATAGTTTGCTTTTGTACAGTTTGAATCATAGTTATAAATGTGCCCCTCACCCAGATAGTATGCATTGTACCCATTAGGTGTGAATTTACTCATCCTCTCCCCCCCACCTGCTTGATTTCTGATGACTTTTTTTTTTTTTTGAGACAGAGTCTCACTTTGTTGCCTGGGCTAGAGTGAGTGCCATAGCGTCAGCCTAGCTCACAGTAACCTCAAACTCCTGGGCTCAAGTGATCCTCCTGCCTCAGTCTCCCCAGTAGCGGGGACTTATAGGCGTAAGCCACCAAACCCGGCTATATTTTTAGTTGACTGGCTAATTTTTTTTTTCTTTTTTTTAGTAGAGACGGGGTCTTGCTCTTGCTCAGGCTGGTCTCGATCTCCTGACCTCGAGCGATCCTCCCACCTCGGCCTCCCAGCGTGCTATGATTACAAGCATGAGCCACCATGCCCGGCCGATTTCTGATGACTTTTATTTCCATATGTGCACATAAGTGTTGATTGATTAGTACAAACTTAATATTGAGAACACGTGGTGTTTGTTTTTCCATTCTTGTGATACTTCCCTTAGAAGAATGGTTTCCAGTTCCATCCAGGTTAATATAAGAGGTATTAGTTCACCAAATTTTTTTGTTTTTTTGAGAAGAGTCTCACTGTTGCCCAGGCTAGAGTGCTGTGGTGTCAGCCTAGCTCACAGCAACCTCAAATTCCTGGGCTCAGGCAATCCTTCTGCCTCAGCACCCCGAGTAGCTGAGACTACAGGCATGAGCCACCATGCCTAGCTAATTTTTTAAATATATTTTTAGTTGTCCAGCTAATTTCTTTGTATTTTTAGTAGAGACGGGGTCTTGCTCTTGCTCAGGCTGGTCCCGAACTCCTGAGCTCAAATGATCCGCCTGCCTCCGCCTCCCAGAGTGCTAGGATTACAGGTGTGAGCCACCGTGCCTGGCCCACCATTTTTTTTAATGAGTAGTACTCCATGGTATACATACACCACATTTTATTAATCCACTCATATATTGATGAGCACTTGGGTTGTTTCCACATCTTTGCAATTGTGAATTTTGCTGCTATAAACATTTGGATGCAAGTGTCTTTCTTAAAAAAATGTCCTTTTAGGAAAGAGAATTCTTGAAGAATTATGTTCAGCGAATAGTTGATGTTCGACCCACATTGGTTCTAGTTGAGAAAACAGTGTCTCGGATTGCCCAGGACATGTTACTGGAACATGGCATTACTTTGGTCATTAATGTAAAATCAGTGAGTGTTCTTATTTTTCTATTTTTATATCATTAAAAAAAATCACAGCTTTGAAATTTATGTGCATGTATACTAGGTATAAAGCAATCTTTATTTCTTTGCTGCACCACACATATTGAAAGTGGAACAGAAGGCATGGCAGCTATTTCATTATTTAAGACTGGAGAATCTCAGATCAGAAGAAAATGTGATTGATTATCTATACGATCAAAGGTGGAATTAACATGAGTTAATCAGTAGATACTTGTTGATCCAAATGTGGTTGGGGAATTGCACAAGCAGAAAATGTTCTCTCCCTTGAAAAGTGTACCCTCTACAGTACAGAGGCCAATTTTAGGAAGGTTTTTTTTGTTTTTTCCACAGTATCTTGTGCTAATTTGTGATGCTTAAATGCCTTTTGATAACATTATTAATGTGAATATAGTTTGTTTTAGTGGGCACATTATTGATTACTAAGAAACTAAGCATAGACTAATATAGAATCAAAAAAATTTTATTTGTCATACAGTTATTAAAATTAAGGAAATTGATTGTGAGGGTTATTTCTAAATTTTTTTGATTAAATTTACTAAGATTTTTATTCTTCTCTAATTTTTTAATGTGATGTTTTTCTGTGTTGTAGCAAGTTTTAGAACGAATCAGTCGGATGACCCAGGGTGATTTAGTAATGTCGATGGATCAGCTGCTTACAAAACCACACTTGGGCACTTGTCACAAATTTTATATGCAGATTTTTCAGTTGCCTAACGGTGAGTGATCTTTAGCATAGCTTCACCTGAGACTGGGGAACTGATGAAATGAGTTAACTCATCAGTGCTACAATGTTTACTCAGTAGAAAATATCTGTTAGTAGTGGTTAAGTGAGGATAGGCAACTGTGGTCTTATTCACATAAGGATTTTTCTTTTGTAGATGTTAAGATAGTAAATTAATTCTGTCTGGACTTCCTAAGCCTTGTTAACTTTTTTATTTGTTTATTTATTTGTAGAACAAACCAAAACACTGATGTTTTTTGAAGGCTGTCCACAGCACCTAGGCTGTACGATCAAGCTTAGAGGAGGCTCTGATTATGAGTTGGCTCGAGTTAAGGAGATCCTAATATTCATGATCTGTGTAGCTTATCATTCTCAACTGGAAATCTCCTTTCTCATGGATGAATTTGCTATGCCTCCCACATTAATGCAAAACCCTTCATTCCATTCTCTGATCGAGGGACGGGCGCATGAGGGGGGTGCACAAGAGCAGTACAGTGGAAGTTCCCTCCCCTGGGAGCCTGACATCCCTCCAGAGTCTCTGCCTTCTGATGATAGCACTTTGCTGGAATCAAGGATTGTGTTTGAGAAGAGTGAGCAGGAAAGTAAAAGTCTTCCACAGCCTGTTGCCTCTTTGAAGTACCAAGAATATGCCACAACAGCTTGCCCTGCGGGTATCCCTTGTGCTTTCTTCCCTTCGGTACCAGAGTCCTTGTTACCACTCCATGTGGATGACCAACAGGATGCTGTAGGCAATGGGCAGCCAGAGTCTTTGCTGCAAACAGATGAACTACAGGATCCTAAAAGCCAGATAAGAGCCTTTAGAGACCCTCTACAGGATGACTCCGGATTATATGTTACTGAAGAAGTCACCTCCTCTGAAGATAAACGAAAGACTTATTCTTTGGCCTTTAAACAGGAATTAAAAGATGTGATCCTCTGTATCTCCCCAGTAATCACATTCCGGGAACCCTTCCTTTTAACTGAAAAGGGGATGAGGTGCTCTACCCGAGATTATTTTGCAGAGCAGGTTTACTGGTCTCCTCTCCTCAATAAAGAGTTCAAAGAAATGGAGAACAGGAGGAAGAAACAGCTGCTCAGGGATCTTTCTGGACTTCAGAGCATGAATGGAAGTATCCAGGCCAAGTCTATTCAAGTCTTGCCCTCGCATGAGCTAGTGAGCACTAGAATTGCTGAGCATCTGGGTGATAGTCAGAGCTTGGGTAGAATGCTGGCCGATTACCGAGCCAGAGGAGGAAGAATTCAGCAAAAAAATTCAGATCCTTTTGCTCATTCAAAGGATGCACCAGGTACCTCAAGTGGTAAATCAGGAAGCAAAACTGAGGATGACGAAGAGAGAGGGCTGATTCCCAGTGATGCAGTGTGGTCAACAAAGGTGAGCCAGTTTGACAAATTGCTTGCAAGTTTATTAAGTATTTTTTCTCCTATGCTTTTTTTTTTGTTTTGGGTCTGTTGGCTTATGTGTTACTTTAGTATGTGTGATTTAGAATTATAAAGTAATGAAACTGGGTTTTAGGATTTTAAGATGAGAGCACAGTAAAGTAGTAAGAGTCCTGGGATAAAGAGAAGTGTGGAGCTGCGTATAATTTCTGTCAGCATGACTTGGATGTGGTGTGATGTGCCTTTGATCCATTTGATGGTAGTGACAAGGAGGGTGAGAGAAGCTTATTGTAGGAAATGGATGCCTTTTAAAAAAAATGTTAGATTTATTTATTTTTTAACATAAAATTCTATACCTTGTCATTTATCTGCGACAGTAGCTTTTTTCTTTTTAGACTGAAATTGAGAGCATATTAAGGAAGATTTGTTTATGGACACATTATTGATAATGGTAGTCATAAAACTAATGGGACAAACTCATCTCTAAACAAGGAAAGGCAATTGTTTAATAAAACACAAAGATGTTCAATTACAGTGGTAGTCTAGGAAGTGCTAAATAATAGTGGTGCTAATTAATTTTTTAGTTGTGAAATTGGCAAAAAGGAAAGTGATAAAAGAGCCATGGTTAATGATAGTGTGAAAAAATGCCTTCCATAAATTTTATGTAAGTTTATATAAATTTGTGTTTATATACACATTTGTATAAATTTATAGAAAGTGATAAGGAAGTCTCTTAATTTATGTATTACATGTATATTCCTTTGACCCAGGACTCCTACCTTTTATAATCTTTTACTGCAGAAGTAATTAAGCATGTTTATATAAGGATGCTTGCATTTTGTAAGAATATATGTACAAAGATGTTTATTGAAGCAGTTTCCAGTTTTTTGCAGTAAAAAGGATAAGTGGAATCTCATTTAATGACCTGGGTAAAGCCCATGATATACTTTTTTTTTTTTTTTTTTTTTTT